TCGGGGAAGGTCCCAGATGACTGGAAAAAGGCTAATGTAGTGCCCATCTTTAAAAAAGGGAAGGAGGAGGATCCTGGGAACTACAGGCCAGTCAGCCTCACCGCAGTCCCTGGAAAAATCATGGAGCAAATTCTCAAGGAATCAATTTTGAAGCACTTTGAGGAGAGGAAAGTCATCAGGAACAGTCAGCATGGATTCACCAAGGGCAAGTCATGCCAGACTAACCTAATTGCCTTCTATAATGAGATAACTGGCTCTGTGGATGAGGGGAAAGCAGTGGACATGTTATTCCTTGACTTTAGCAAATCTTTTGATACGGTCTTCCACAGTATTCTTGCCAGCAAGTTAAAGAAGTATGGGCTCGATGAATGGACTATAAGGTGGATAGAAAGTTGGCTAGATTGTTGGGCTCAACGGGTAGTGATCAATGGTTCCATGTCTAGTTCGCAGCCAGTATCAAGCGGAGTGCCCCAAGGATTGGTCCTGGGGCTGGTTTTGTTCAATATCTTCATTAATGATCTGGAGTATGGTGTGGATTGCATCCTCAGCAAGTTTGCGGATGACACTAAACTGGGAGGAGTGGTAGATACGCTAGAGGGTAGGGAGAGGATACAGAGGGACCTAGACAAATTGGAGGATTGGGCCAAAAGAAATCTGATGAGGTTCAACAAGGATAAGTGCAGAGTCCTGCACTTAGGACAGAAGAATCCCATGCACTGCTACAGACAAAGGACCGAGTGGCTAGGCAGCAGTTCTGCAGAAAAGGACCTAGTTGTTACAGTGGACGAGAAGCTGGATATGAGTCAACAGTGTCCCCTTGTTGCCAGGAAGGTTAACAGCATTTTGGGCTGTATAAGTAGGAGCATTGTCAGCAGATCGAGGGACATGATCATTCCCCTCTATTTGGCATTGGTGAGGCCTCAGTTTTGGGCCCCACACTACAAGAAGGATGTGGAAAAATTGGAAAGAGTCCAGCGGAGGGCAACAAAAATGATTAGGGGGCTGGAGCACATGATTTTTGAGGAGAGGCTGACGGAACTGGGAATTATTTGTCTGCAGAAGAGCAGAATGAGGGGGGATTTGACAGCTGCTTTCAACTACCTGAAAGGGGGTTCCAAAGAGGATGGAGCTAGACTGTTTTCAGTGGTACCAGATGACAGAACAAGAACCAATGGTCTCAAGTTGCAGTGGGGGAAGTTTAGGTTGGATGTTAGGAAAAAACTTTTTCACTAGGAGGGTGGTGAAGCTCTGGAATTGGTTACCTAGGGAGGTGGTGGAATCTCCTTCCTTAGAGGTTTTTAAGGTCAGGCTTGTCAAAGCCCTGGCTGGGATGATTTAGTTGGGGATTGGTCCTGCTTTGAGCTGGGGGTTGAACTAGATAACCTCCTGAGGTCTCTTCCAACCCTGATATTCTATGATTCACTGTGCCAAGGAGGAATCTCACAAGAAGGACAACCCAGAGCTGGACCCATTATTACTGCTGCCCAGAGTGAGTACTGGGGCTTGTGCCTTTGCTTTGGAAATAAGGAGGAAGGCTGTTGTTAAGTGGGCAGGTTGTCACTCTGTGTGGCTTTGCAGAGAGTGGCAGAAGAAGGCACCATACAGGTTTTGGGGGGAAGATTTACTGGTGCTGAAGATTACAAGGACAATCAAGACTCTCCACTGGACTGGAACTTTGCCCAGTGACACCACTAGTTCAGCCTGTGTGTTCTCTGCAAACTTGGCAGCCATTAGAGTTCATACATTGGAGTTACTCATCTCCAAAACCTGCCAGGGAGGTTGGTGTGCATTTCTGTGTCAGTTTAATATCTAGGCACATCCCCAACCCTGACTCTCCCTACCTCCAATAAAAGGAAACAACTCTCCAAAACTTTTGAAAGCTGCTTTGTATTTTTGCCTTCTTTGGTCGCTGAATTCTCACACATCATGGTAACCTAAGACTTTTTATTTGTTAATTAAGATATCTAAATATTACATTTATTCCACTATATGCTGTAGCCTTCATCTTTCCAATCAAAATGTGAAAGTGTTAAAGATGGTGGTGGCTATCTTGCCAATTTTATGGGATATAAAACTGAATTAACTATCTCAGATTACATTTCAAAGGCTCTTCATTGTGCATATGGGAAGGACAGGACAAGTATTCATTATTACAAAACTTTTAAAGAGCTTCCTAACTACATAACATTAATTGTCAGATAATTGTATCTTTCCTTGGAGCTTTGTGATCTCAATTCTTCCTTATAAATCTTTTCCTTTAAACAGCTTAACATATTTCCCACTGGGTGAACTTATAGTTGCTAGGCCATTATGTTCTACAGTGGCTCTTAATAATGTCTAAGTCCAGATAACCATACTTTTACTGGCCCTGAGCCAATTTGCAATCAAAAGTAGGTTTAGTCATGCAATTTTGGTCTGAAAAGTCTCTTAAATACCTTTTTGGGGCCAGACTCTGAAGTCTTAGAAGACTACAACTCCTGTTTCAGAATTCTAAATGCATATGCTGGGTGTCAATACATTTCCTATTCGTTATTTGATTGTGACCTTGTATGCACTTGCAGTTACATGAAACTACACAGCACGGTGAAAGACAGGCTGTGCCCACCCTCACTCTGGTGTATATTACATGCAGCAGTGAAAGGCAGGGGGAGGCAGCGGGGGTGGGGAGGGTGGGTGGGAGGGTGGAGAAAGGCTCTGACACTGCGACACTACACTGATAAAAATAAGCACTGCTTGGGTGTGTAGAAAGCTATGAAGGGTACATACATTAAAGGCTCAAGCAGGTAGGACACCCTACTCTACTCACCTAAGCAGTGCCTCATCATCTACACTGACATTTACATCCATGCTAGCTAAGTGTGAAGTATCTGTATTCTACATGATGCCATAAGTGAGGAGTTACACTAAGATATTCTTACTACATGAACATTCATCATAACTTGTGATGTGCGAGCATTTGGTTTTTGATATTTAGTATCCATACTTCACTTACTTCGGGAAAAGGCAGGATTTACTGTACAACACCAACAATAATAGTAATATCATACTTTGAACTATTGTTTTTAATATCAAAAGTGATTTATAAATCTTGTGTTGGAGCGGGGTGGTGGAGGGGCATGTACATGCTGGATTAAAGTTTATAATTCCTTCCCTGTCATGGGAACAACACGATTAACTTGGTGAATCCATACCATATTATCATGTAATTACATTTCAGAATGGATGGAGCAGAACCCACAGTAGAGTTCTTATCTTTTCCCTATTATTATTGTTGTTAGTAGTAGTATTATATGTAAAGGGATCATGGTTGGCTTCTGTGCTGGAATTGTATCACATCCTCACACACTATCCCACATGAAAAAGATTAAAAATAAAACCCCTGAAAACATCACTTTTTGTGTCCCCTCTCCACCTGTAACTTGAACAGTGATTGATTTTCATTAATAGGTCACTTCCATCACTAAAAATCAGTGTGGCTTTTCAAATCAAATACATATTGAACTTTTACATACTCTGAGGAAACCTGGGTGGATTGTCGTTGACATCAGTGAGTGTGATATTTACAGTTGTTGACCCTGATAGTCCTCCGACCTGCCCAGCCATATCTTTGGCTTGAATGACAACGGAATAATGCTCTCTGGCTTCCCTGTCCATGTTATGCAAGGCAGTCCTGATGACTCCTGTGATGCAAAGAAAAATAAAAGAAACACCAGCGTTAGCACTTCTGAACAATGGTCAAGGGTAGACATCCACAGAGCCTGTTTTGTCACCCGAGGTAGGACACAGAACTTCTACTATTGCAAAGCCCCTTTACAGCCAAAATAAACTATTTTTTATTTAATTTCTGATTTCTAACCAACAGATTGGAAGTCTCTTGTGTGAAGATAACCAAAGAAAATGGGTTATACAATGTGTTGTGGAGAAATGTTGGTGAGAACTGCATTGTTTTCTAAAAAAATTAATATAATTGTGGCAGCATTTGCTAGACAGACAGCTTGCTTGAGGATATGTAGAAATTAAAAACACCCCATATTACAAGAAAATGTAATATATTAATAAATGATTACTCCAATTCATGTAATGTACAAAGACCTCAAGGCACATTGCCAAAAAAACAATGTTTTATCTTATATAATAATTGCTTAAGTAGCTGTTTAATTGAAATATTAATGAATATGCATTCATGCCCCACAAGAGAAGTCTCAAATTCCACTATCCAGTAGCCAAACAAATAATAATCTTTTGTTTTTGTGCATAAAGTTTGGAACTATTCTGAAAAGTGACTTCAAAAATGGCACCCTCTTATTCAAAATGCCTTGATCTGATCCCTATATCCATTCACAGCTGTAAACAGTTGACCTTAGTGAGAAAAATGCATTTTTGCTGCTTTTTGACTCCTATTTAGCCCAGCAGAGCCGATAGAGCTGGAGGTGAGTGAGCAAAAGTTTCTACTTAATTTTACACATCATCAGCAGAAATGTTTACTAACTTCCAATATCTTCAAGCACACTGATGACAAAAGGGTTGTGCAGGTATCACCTAAGGCTTGACCAATATGACCAATATTACTTTTGTCACTGGTGATATGTTAGATCAAAGGTCTCAGACATGTGACCCGCAGGGCTCTTCCCTGTGGCCCGCCAAGCTCCCCGCTCCGCTCCCCCCGTTCCCTCCCTAGCGCACCGCATCCCCAGCCTACCTCCAGGCCAGGGGTGGGCAAACTACGGTCCCGGGCTGGATCCGGCCCCTCAGGGCTTTCGATCTGGCCCGCGGATTTGCCAACCTCGTGGTGCTGAGGGCCCCGCACTGCTTCCCTGCGGCCCCGGGAGAGGGGGAGAAGAGAACTCTGTGAGCTGTTCTTGCCTGTGGTTACCGCCCCTAAAGCTCCCATTGGCCGGGAACGGGGAAGCACGGCCAATGGGAGCTTTGGGGGAGGTACCCACAGGCAAGAACAGCTCACAGAGTTCTCTGCTCTCCCTCCCCCCCGGGGCCACAGGGAAGCAGTGCCTGTGACTTCCCGGAGCGGGGCTGGGGCCAGGGCTGAGGCCAGGGCAGACAGGCAGGGAGCCCATCCTGGTCCCGGTGCATGCCCCTGCCACCCCGGAGCCGCTCAAGGTAAGAGGCGCCAGGCTGGAACCCGAACCCCTCCTGCATCCCGCACCCCAATTCCCTGCCCTGAGCCCCCTGCCTGCACCCCAACCCCTTGCCACACCCACACTCCCTCCTGCACCCCAACCCCCAGCACTGAGCCCCCTGCCACACCCTGCTCCCCCCCTGCACCCCAATTCCCTGCCCTGAGCCCCCTGCCTGCACCCCAACCTCTTGCCACACCCGCACTCCCTCCTGCACTCCAATCCCCTGCACTGAGCCCCCTGCCACATCCCACACCCCTCCTGCACCCCAACTCCCTGCCCTGAGCCCCCTGCCACACCCGAGCCCCCTGCCATACCCCACACTCCCTCCTGCACCCCAACCCCCTGCCCTCAGCCCCCAGCTTCACCCTGCGGGTGGGGGGGTGGAGTGGGGGCAGCGGGGGGGAGGGTGATGCAGCCCTCGGACCAACGTACGAGTCCTCATGTGGCCCTTCTGGTGAGTCGAGTTTGAGACCCGTTTTTAGATAGAATAACCCAGCTACATTCGCTGAGCCCAGACTGAGTTTGCAAGGTTGGCAGTCCGGAAAATCCCCCCACTCCCCTCCACACACTATTATTTGTGAGTGGGGAGAATTTCACACTTAAAGGGAACTGCAGGAGTCACTTTCCAGAGCAGAGTCCCACTTTAAAATTTAGAATTACAAAAAGATTTGTAAGGGCATTTTGAAACAGATTGTTAAATAGAGAAAGAAAACAAAACCTACCACTATCAAAGCTTCCTTAAAAAAGTGTGTGAAAGACTAAACTTGTTAAAATAAAACTGTCCTGACATGGTAACTGTTGCTTCTTTACAAATTTAAATCATTTGATAGCCATGCACAAGAACAGACAGGGATATAACAACAAATGCATTGATGGATGAGGGAACTTGATGGGGCTGCAGTGAAAGGTGGGAAGTCCTAGCAGCGATGGAGGGAGACACTCCCCGTGGGATAATAGTTAGCTCCTCCCCCTGGGAGTCTCTGGCACCCATTGGCCAGCTGCAGGAGAGAGGTGCTGATGGATCAGCATTTCCCAGCTCCCAGGATGTAACTTGGCACAGAGGCCACATGGAGCCTCTTTTGATTTGCCCATTCTTACTAGTGGTTTCAGGCTTGGGTCCTAGATACACTTAAACTGAAACTACGGCTGGCTTAGACATAAAAGTATCACTTGCAGTCTACAGCAAGCTTCCAGGTCACAGGTGTTTCAGCCCACTAGGGAATGACTGAAATGTTAATATGATCTTAATTGTGCATGCTCCAGTGAGGTGTGAGGTGGAGTATGAGCTACTTTTGATGTCTGACAGCTCTGCGGTGAGAATCACTCTGCTTCTCTCCCTAATCATTACACTGGCTGGTACACAGCAAAGCGTTCTTCTGCTTTCTGAAACCTCCATCATCTACTTGCTAGTTTCCTAATTCTTTCCAGAAACATACAAATGAGTTCTGAGAACAATGAGCCAGACCCTCCACTGGAGTAAACTGATATAGCACCCCTGAGATTAATGAAGCTCTTTATGGCAATTTATATCAAATGAGGATCAGGATCATTACCTATTCCTCTTACATTCCTATACATAACACTAGCACATTGCCCAGTGCAGGAAGTTTGTGGTAGCTTTGCAAGAGGCCTAAGATTAGATCAAACTGGCCGTACTTGAGAAAATACAAATCCCACTTTCAAAGTGAAGGCTATGTCATTTTCCTTGCCACTAGACTCTATAGACTGGCTCACAGGTAAGCAAAACACACAACATACTTCCAGAACTGGGTTAAACATGGTTATGTAACATTAAAACACATGCAACTTTCCTAGTTTGACACTTCATTACCAACTGTAAACTCAGTTAGGTTTATTAAAATGTTGGTGAATTTTTTGAGATTCTGTTCTGTACCATTTCAACAGAACCTGGAGCAATGTATGTGTGACATTCCATACCTTGGGGGAGCATCCTGTAACCCCCATATTCCTCGTTTCTATATAATTGTGATCTTACATATAAAGCATGCCTTGTAAGGTATCAGGGGAATGGTTATGATATGCTGAAAGTCATTTCTCTATCTATATATGTGTATAATTACCGCATATGAAGTTATGAGAATTGTGTGGTATGGTTGTCACTAGAACATGCTGTAAATTGGGGAATAAGCCAGGTATTAGCTCCCCAGAGGCAACAGCAAGGAAAGTAACCAATGCCAGGGTGGGGTATCAATCAATCAACAACCATTGACTAGGGGAATTGCTCAACCTTGCCTGGAGACTCAGCAATGCCCCGAGACATGCCTGGACTTGTGTTTTCAAGGACTGAGGGTATAAAACAGACACAGAGGCTATATGCTGGCCCTTCTCCTGCCTCCACCTATGCTGCAAGCAACTAAGACTAGACTCCAACAGAGGAGACTGGCCCAGATTTAAGGAATAAACCTGTATATTAAGGACTGCAATATCCAACAGGGTGAGAAAAACTGCTTAATCTAGATGTTGCCCAGTCTAATAGGGTTGAGAGTTTAGACTGCGTGCTTATATTTTATTTCTTTTGGTAACTAACTCCGACTTTTTGCCTGTCACTTAATACCACTAAAGATGTACCTTTTATGCTCAATACATTTATTTAATTGTTTATCTTTACCAGTGAGTTTGTATGAAGTGTGGGGCAAATCTGCTCAGGTTTTGCAAAGGCTGGTGTATGTCCACTTTCCACTGTTGAAGTGGTGAAGCAATTAATAAATTTGCACTGCCCATCTTGAGCAGTACAAGATGGTATATTCCTGGGGTACAGTGCTGGGTGCTGGGGCCTTTCTCTGTGTGATTCATGAGTGGCTCTGGGAGCATTCATGCAATCTAGCTGGGTGTGGGGCTCCACATGCTGTTGTGCTGAGTGATCACAGCACCTAGAAGGGGTACCTTCTTGTCACTAGCAAAGCATTATGAGAGACAGCCCAGGCTGGAGAGAGTTCAGGGGGTACAGCAGCCCCGCAGTCCCAGGCTGCACCCCAGGGGTCCCGTCAGAGTATGTTTAAACAAGAAACCATGTAAAAAATTGTGGTTTTAACTCAGTACAGCTTTGAGTTTCTAGGTTCACTATCAGCAGCAACTTAATATTCCGGAATTGCATACACCAGAGCCAAAGGAAGTTTGCCTGACACCTCTCACTCAAATAGAAACATTTGTATAGTTCCACATCTTTATTCACATTTAGTTTTCCCACAGAGATTCTCAGAACATTTCAAGAATAAATATCTAACCCCAATTTATATGTAATTACCAGAACTTGCCAAAGAAATTTGGATGAAACCACATTCAGTAAGAATATGCAGATCTGTCAAAATTGAAATGTGTTGTGAAATCAGATTAATTTTGCCTAATTTCTATTTTGGAAGAAAAAGGGAATGGGGGGGGGGGTGGAGAAATCCTAACAATATTGCAACTTCCCATTTCAACATTTCCAGATTAGAAAATTTTGATTTTACATTTGGAAATTACTTCATTCTGTATTTTTTATTTTGCATTATATTATCTATTATAATTAGATTATCTATTATCTATTTTTAAAGTCCAAATCAAAACAAAATGTTTCAATCAACACAAAACAAATTGTTAGGACTGTCGATTAATCACAGTTAACAAATGCAATTAACCCAACAAAATTAATCTGCAGTTTTAATTGCACTGTTCTACAATAGAATACCAACTGAAATTTATTAAATATTTTGGATGTTTTTCTACATTTTCATATATATTGTATTCTGTGTTGAATTGAAATCAAAGTGTAAATATTTTTATTACAAATATTCTTACTGTAAAACTGATAAAAAAAGAAATAGTATTTTTAATTCACCTCATACAAGTACTGTAGTGCAATCTCTTTGTCGTGAAAGTGCAATTTGCAACTGTAGATTTTTTTGTTACATAACTGCACTCAAAAACAAAACAATGTAAAACTTCAGAGCCTACAAATCCATTCAGTCCTATTTCTTGTTCAGTCAGTCGCTAAGACAAACAAGTGTGTTTACATTTACAGGAGATAATGCTGCCCTCTTCTTATTTACAATGTCACCAGAAAGTGAGAACAGGCATTTGCATGGCACTTTTGTAGCCGGCACTGCAAGGTATGTATTTGCCAGACATGCTAAACATTCATATGTCCCTTCATGATTTGGCCACCATTCCAGAGGACATGCTTCCATGCTGTTGATACCCATTAAAACAATAATGTGTTAATTAAATTTGTGACTGAACTCCTCAGGGCAGAATTGTATGTCCCTTGCTCTGTTTTACCCACATATATATTTGCCAAATGTTTCACAATGTAGCAGTCTCGGGTGATGACCCAGCACATGTTGTTCATTTTAAGAATACTTTCACTTCAGATTTCACAAAACGCAAAGAAGGTACCAATGTGAGATTTCTAAAGAGAGCTACAGCATTCAACCCAAGGTTTAAGGAAAGTGCCTTCCAAAATCTGAGAGGGATGAGGTGTGGAGCATATTTTCAGAAGTCTTAAAAGAGCAATACTCCTATGCGGAAATTACAGAACCCTAACCACCAAAAAAGAAAATCAACTTTCTGTTGGTGGCATCTGACTCAGATAAATGAACATGCGGCAGTCCACACTGCGTTGTATTGTTATCGAGCAGAAACCATCACTGGCATTGTTGCATGTCTACTGGAATGGTGGTTGAAGCATGAAGACATATGAATCTTTAGCGCATCTGTCACATAAATATCTTGCAAAGCTGGCTACAACAGTGCCATGGGAACAACGGTTCTCTCTTTCAGTTGACATTGTAAACAAGAAGTGGGCAGCATTATCTCCCGCAAATGTAAACAAACTTGTTTGTCTGAGTGATTGGCTGAACAAGAAGTAGGACTGAGTGGAATTGCAGGCTCTAAAATTTTACATTGTTTTACTTTAGAATGCCCTTTTTTGTCCACAGTTCTATGTCTGTAAGTTCAACTTTCATGATAAAAAGACTGCAC